AATTTATAAAAATGACTATAGATTAAATAAATAATGTAATTCAACATTAGAGCATATCAACAGTGATTCAACTTACCGAATCTTTACCAGACTACTAGACTATGGTATATATCATTTATTCATATTGAGTAGATATATATATATATCATTCATATTTGTCATGCCATCAGCGCCTTGGTCTCATTTATGTAACCAAACATCAAAACGAACACAGAGGCTAAGCCTATATACTCTCTTTTCCACTTGCCGGGCGAGCATAAAATCAAGACAGCATTGTCGCAGCAGAGCTCAGTTCAGCTTCATATCTACACCACTTAGTCTATATCAGCGCTCTCCCTTTACTGCTCCTTGCCCTCTATCGCCCTTCCTCACTCTCTCACTCTCTCACACTCTCTCACTCTCTCTTTCTCTCTATCTATCTCCTGGTCCCACTCTGGCTATCTCTTGTCCATTCATTACGCGTAGCAAGTTGCGGCGAGTCGCCTCTTGTTGACCTATAAATAATGTGGCAAATTTCCGAGGCACAATAAATAAATTTCATTCAGTATGCAAATTAATGTAGGAACAAAAAGCCCAATATATACCATGCTTTGCATACAGTTATATATATAAGTATATATGCAATTAGGGTGCTTTGTAAGGCACAACGGTCCAATTACAATGCCAAATACAAAATACTTACAAGGAATACGCCCTTCGCTCCATTGTGCACTGCAATCTGAACGAGAATCTGCTTAAGACAATCAGAAATGGTCGCAAGCCGAATTCTAATTGGATTGACAGCTTTCATTGAATGCAAATTAAATACAATTTAAGCGAGTTTATAAACATTAAGAGCAAATGACAACAATARCAATAACAATATCAGTGAGGCAAAACTTCTGAAATGCTGAAACTTTCATAATTTGCGAAAAAAAAGAAATCAAAATAAAAATATATAAAAAATGTTTCTAATGCCAAATAAATTGCATTTAAAATTTAAACTATAATTTCATTTATTATTTCATATTGATTTGTAATTTCCTTTAACAGAATTTGTTCACTGCAAATCAAATTATATCCAGAGAATCTAGAAAAATATTTTATTTAAGACAAGTCTGCTGATGAATGAATATGAATTATAAACGCGAGTATATAAAGCTGTTTTAATGAAGAATTTAAAATCAATATAAATGAGGCGAAAATTCCCGCTCTCTGCCCACTGCCCAATTAGGCCAGCGAAAAAGCCCATCGAGTCGGCGAAAAATCAAATAGGAATTCCGGGAATCAAAACTGAACATTGATATCAATTATTTGGTCCTTTGAAGTTGCAATCTTAAATCTTAAATTGAAGCTCGAGACTGAACAATATAAACTTATCTGATTTATGTGCTTTTCTTGTTGCCATTTTCTTTCCAGAGACCAGATGGATCAGTTCAAACTTATTAAGAGAGCAGCGCAAAATAACTGACAATTCCCCAGAGTGAAGGAAAACGGAAAACGCAAAAGAAAAGGAAATATATATAAACATACACATATATATAAAGTGTGTAAAGGACATTACATTAAAAGCGATTCATCATCGACGTGACGTTGTGATTGTGTCGTTTGTTGTTGCTGTTGGCCAAGAGCAAAAACACTAGCAGCAGCAGGAGCAGCAGCAGGAGCTGAAGCAGGAGCAGCAAGAGCAACAGCAGCGTTACAGCAGCAAATTGAATGTAATTTCATAAAAAGCGAGTGTTAATTTTTTACTCCCTCTCGCTTGCTGTGTGTGAGAGTGTGTGTGTGTGTGTGTGTACACAACAATAGTAGTAAGCAACAACAGCTACAACAATAGCAATAGCAAATACATGGCTCTTGGCTTAATGTGCTAATGCGCAGTGACATGAAAAATGATGGAGAACATGCAAGTTATACGCCCCCTGAAGTAGGAGGAGCCGCAAACAGCTAGTGAAAGAATACGCAGGGCAGGCCAAATAACAAGCTGCAAATTTGATACAAACAACAAGAGAGGAAGAAGCAGAAGCAGAAGCAGTAGCAGTGGCAGCAGCAGCAGGGAGAAGCAAGTAGAGCAAGAGCAACGCATTGACAGGCGACAACAAAAGCGAAAAAGTGGTAGAAAAATCAGACAGGAAATAGCGAGAGCAGCAGGAAGGGACTGCAGCAATAGCAACAACTGAGAGCAGCAGCAGCAGCAGCATCATTTATCAGCGCATCAGTTGTACGGCAACAACAACAACAACAACTGGCAGCAACAACAACTGCACAACTAGCATATGTGTATTAGTTTTGTGGCGCCTTTTGTGCTGGCGTTTTTTTGCTGAAAGGAAACAGCGCGTTCATTCAAAAAGCCATTAACCCTAATAAGCGTGCCACAACAACTACAACAACAACAACTAGAAGAAGAAGAAAAAGCAACAGCAGCAGCAGCATCGATGTGCCATTGTGCCGTGTAGCCCCGCCGTAACTATTGAAAAGACGCCAACTAAGCTAAGCTCGCGCAGCTGTTGCAGCTGCCACGCAACACAAAGGAGACAGAGGCAGGAACAGGGATAGAGCGAGAGAAACTGCTACAAATGTTGCCGCCACGGCTGCTGCGCTTGCGGCTGTTGCGTGTGCCGCTGCATTTAATGGAATTGCGCATTTTGTTGCTGTGCCTGCCCACCTTGCTGCTGGCCACAACGCTGGAAACAGGTGAGTGACACGCCCCACGCCCAAAATCTGACTGCCCATTTAATTAATGCAACAGCTATTTTAGCCAGCAACAACAACAACAACAACAACTAGAACTGCGCGACAGTTAAAAGCGAATTCAGGTTTTAGTGGCCTCGAAACAATTGAATTTAAATGAAATTTTCTAGCGCGCAACGCCTCAGTTTATTTAGCGTATTTACATAAAGCGCGAGTTGGGCGCGCTGGCCACGCCCACTCGTGCAATTAAATGCTATGCGCCTAAGCCTAGACGAAACTTTGCCAATTTACGGATTTATTACGCGAGCAAATTTTATTAGGCTCTGAGTGAGTGGGCTGGGCCAAGCGAGTGGGCAGCAGCAGTAGGAGCAGGAGCAGGAGCAGCAGGAGCAGGAGCAGGAGTGGGAGGGGGAGCAGGTAGCTAGGCTAAGCAAGGCACCTGCGGCTAAAACTTTTTAGACCAAATATTTTCATTAATGGCCCAAAAGTGACTATGAAAGAGAACGAGAGCAAAAGAGACAGCGAAAATAAGCTAAGCCATGACAGACAAGCATGAACGACTGCATAATACTCTGTCGAGTGGGAGGAATAGCTTATGGAAAGAGATTTATAGAATTTGGAAGATTGAAGATGGGAGATGAGAGAAAAATATGCGAAATAAAAAAATAAAAAAAGGACATTGACTATAGAGCAATAAAAAATTGTTTATAAGGCTAGAACAAAGAGGATAGAAGAGAAGGAAGATGAGAGATGAAAGATAGAATACAGTTGTTAAATTATAGAAAATCGTTCGAGGTAAAGATTATCAGTTAGAATAGAGACTAATAAAACTGGGGAAATAATATAGATAAATGAATAATAAATAATTTAGATATACCATTAAAAATGGCGGGGAAGAATGATAAAGAAGAGAAAATAAGGCATATCAAATACAATATTGTTTAGAAGCTACAGAGCATAAAAGACAGTAGATAAAAGAAAAGAGAGGAGCATGTCTTATGCTTTAGATGAGAATAAAATCCATAAAAGAATAGAAAAGATAGAGGATATAAGGATATACGGAAATAAAAGCCAGAATGTAGAGGATAGGGGATAGTATCTGGAAAGTACAAGATAAACGATAGATGGATATAAAAAAATAATTTGAATTGTGGAAGTTAAAGCTTTTGACATGTCCCTTACTCATTATTGTTATATATTTTTTTCTTTTGCACAATCTATGGATAAGAATGATGAGAATATAACTAGTCCAAAGGCCTTTGGGCTCTAGCTCTTTAATGATTATAGGCGCAGAAAAGTATGCTACACATCTGTAACTCAAAGTTGTTTTATGATGAAATGATATTTCTCTTAAGTTTTCTGCCAACTTAAGTAACTGAAAGTTTAGTAGTTGAATTTTTAAATTTGAAATGTCATTAGTACAAATTCATTTTCGTTAATAATGCCTTAGTTACGTCCGATATGTCGCATTGTCAATGAAAGAATTCAAATAGTTCTAATCTCTTATTAGCGAAGCTTATCCAGTAGCAAATATGCCCAATTCGAACTATTCATTTCCGATATCAACGAAATGCTGTGCATTGTTAAAGACAGACGAAAGAATCTTTGCACTCTCTTTCTTCCTCCCACTCTCTCCCCTCTGCGAGCGGGCATTGAAATGAAGAAGTACTTGCGCTGGTTAAATGTTTGTCATTCAATTTGAAACGGGCGTGTGGCCTAGAGCTCAAGTGTAGCACAGTTTTTAGCTAAAAACTTTTTACGGCAGACAAAGAAGCTGCGAAAGCCAGAGAGAGAGAGAAAGAGAGGCAGATAGCAAGCGAGGCGAGTGAGTGAGTGAGATGAGCAGGTAAACACATTTTAAAGTCGGCCTCGGCGGCAATTGCTTGGCAAACAATTATTAATTTTTCATCAAGCGCGCACGGCCAGCGCTCGGCGGACTTTGGCCGCCTTTGCTCGCGGCACTTTTTCTGACCTTTTGGCTAATTTGGTTTAAATGGATGCGAGAGCTGAGCTAAAAGCCAGCCATGCCTCAGCGCCTGCTACTTAGGCGAGAGTGTGTGGATGTCTCTCCCTGTCCTCTGCCTCTTTCTCTGTGTGTGTGTGGGTGTGTAGCATCACGTATACGCATCGTTAGCCACGCTAAGTTATGGCCAACACGTAACATTCACAAATAATAAGGATAATGAAAAATACACAGGGGAGAGATTAGCGTTAAGGGCGAATCGCCATTTTTTAGCTGCTGCCGCTGCTGCTGCCCTTGCGGCTTTGGTTTTGACCTAAAAGCTCCCCGAATGCGACCTTTGTTTCTGTTTTTTTTTTTAGCGGCTTTGTCTTCTTTTTATATTTTGTTTGTGCGACCAACGCGTTACGCATAAATTATCAAGAGTCGCTGAAAAACACACACAGCGGGCAATGGCGACACCTTATCGGCTCGGCGCTCATTACGCCGCCTCTGCCGTTGTAGCGCAGCCGGCTGGGGGCGTGGCAGTGTCGCGTGACAGCGCAAAAATTGAAAATTTATTGCCACGCCTTGTGGCTTAAGAATCTATGCCGAACAAAATAAAAAACAGAAGCAGAGACAAGTAAAGTTTTTTCTTTTGTTAAATTGACTTTTTAAAGTGACCGCAAAAAAAAAAAGCAAATGAAATTGGAAAATAAAAACCAAAAACTGGTAAATGTGAAACGTGAAATATGCAAATAATTCAAACAGTCCAAGAACTCGCAACTGTCAGTTTCACCAAAAGAAGGCGAACAGGAAAAAGGCAAGAGAAAAGCGAACAACTCGAAAAGCAACAACTGCTAAGCGAAACAAAAATTGAAGCCATACGGTTGCCGACAAGAGTATATCTATATAATATATATATATATACGATGTAGTATATATATATTGTGTAATCTGTGTATGTATGCTGGTATATATGTTATATAAGATGTGTGCATATTTCTTGTCAATATATATATAATATGAACAGTCACAGTCAAAAGTATATGGACAGCCCACATATGTCGCAATTTTCAGCTTAGTAATCTCTAGATCTCTGCTCGACATTTTCATTTGATTTTATACAACATATTTTCTACCAGAAATTATTCGTACTACATCAAATCATTCATTTGGAAATAATATACCATATTAAAAGGAAGGCAAAAGATCATAGAAAACGAATCTCCTTCGGCTCTAGTAAAAAGTTGTCAATCAAATAAATTTCTTGGTGCAAATACTTTTGACAAATACTGTATCATATATTATACATAACAACATATATATTTTAGATATTATATATGCCGTCTGCCAGGTTGGGTAAGAAAAAAAGGAAAAGAAAACGTTAAGCTTAGCACTTTCGACTGACAGGCAGGGCAATAACAACAGCCGAGACACACGTGTCGACTCCTGTCTGTGAAGAAGCTATATACAGCTAGCGCTCCCTCTCCCACTCTCCTTCTCTCTCTCTCTCTCTCTCTCTCTCTCCTTCTCTATGTCTATCTTTCACTCTATCTGTAGCTCTGGCATATTTGCCTGCGTCAAGGTCGAGCCGGGCCAGTTTCATGCTTCACACTTCACACTTCAAACACACACACACACACACTCACACACACACGCATTTACAATATTTTCGTTTTCTTTTTCCTTTCGCTTCTGCCCTTTTTCTCTCCCGATTCGCGCTGGCGCTCATGTTTCTCAAGTGCAAATGAGTTTTGCCTCCTGCATGCCCCTCTAATGCGCTGTAAAATTTCAGCTATTTTCGCTAAATTTTCTTAGTGGTTTTCATATTAAGCCCGAGGCATTTGTAACGCTAGACGCGCGATCTTTGGCTTACGGGGTTTAGATAAAATGAGAGCTCAGGTTAAGGTAAAGGCGGCAGTAGAGGCGACAGCGGAGGCGGTGCCAACGCAGCATGTGGCAGACGGTACTCAGTCAGCCGTTGAGGTTGCTTGGAGTTCGAGTGAGGTCGACTGTCAGGCAGCTTAAAAACTGCTAAGCACTTTGGCCACGTTGACTTAAGCAGCTTTCGGGCTTAACTGCCAGCAGACAGCAGCACCCCAACATATTGGCAGGGCATTAAAATATTACGCATACGCACTGTGTGCCCCCCTCTCACTCTCTCCCTCTCTCCCACTCTGAGTAATGTGCGCCCGCTATAGATATAAATAATCATTTTGGCAGCAACATGACAAGTGCGCGCACACACAGCTGAAAAGCATTTCGTATCGTGCTCCACGGCCATAGAGCGTTCGCTAAACGTCCGCAAGATTGACAAGAAATATTTATTATTAATAATAGACATGCGAGCAGCAGCAGGCACAAAGCTTGCTGACTTCATTATTTATCGCTTTACAGTCAGCTACCGCTCTCTTCACTCTTCACTCTACAGGGTAACTAGCTAGTCGTGCTGGTCTGCTGCTGCTGCTGCTGCTCCTGCTGCTATTGCTGTTCCTCTTGCTTATTGCTGGACATCCGGCCGGCTCATTGCTAGAGCAAAAAGTTTTATTACTGTTGCCTACTTTCAGGCATAATATAATTCACACTCTCGCCCGCTAAGCCGCTGCCAGCTGACATGCGCACGTATCGAGCCAAAAAGCTAAAGGCGAGCAGCGGCGGCCAAATGCGCGACTTTTAGCCATTTTATTAGCAGTGCGTGTTTTTTTACTATTATAGCGAGTCACACACCACACACCACACACACACACCACACACACACATACTCCCTCTCCCTCTATATCTCTCGACGGCACTTGACCTTAGACTCGGTTTTTGGGCTTGAGCGCGCGTTTGGATTTTTTTTGCCTCTACTTTTTCTTTTTTTGGGTGTTGTGTGTCTAAGCATTTACATTCCTCTTAACATGCGCAATATATTTCGACTTGTCAGTGCGTATATGTGGGCGCCTAAGCGCGCGTGTGTGTGTGTGTGTGTGTGTGCTGTCATGCATACAAATGCAAAGATAAAGAATTTATACTTATTCCAGCTCTACAGCTAATATATATATTTGTTAGCCGCACACACACACACACACACACGCACACATAACTGTCATATATAAGCGTTTTTGCTGCTGACCACCAAAATCGACCTGACCCGTCATAAAGTGGCTCTGCTTTGTCCCTGACCACCTCCTGCTCCAAGCATTGTTGTTGTTATTAATGACGCACTTTTATTGTCTGCAGACTTTTAATGTATATTATATAGATATACATTATATATATATACGTGTATATATATATACATAAATATATGCGCATATAGTATATATTTAAATTTACAGTCAATGCAGCGTGACCATCGAGCATACGAAAATTGCCAACGGCTGCTCACGACTGCAGAATACTTGTTCGCCAGCTACTTATAGCTAGTCTCCATAGTCTCCATAGTCTACATAGCCGGTCAGCCATAGTCTCCAACCTCGACTCCATAGCCTTAGCTGCCTAGTCTCAGTTTTCCTCACTCTAGCTTCAAGTCCTCAGTCTCAAGTCTCTATGTCTCTCTGCATGCAGCCCAAAGGAACATGCAACTAATATACTCTCTTTGAACATTTCAAAAGTGAATATTTAAAATAAAGAAGAGCAGCATAAGCCAACAAAAAAAAAAGCAGTGAGACTTGACGTCATTGGCAAAACAGGCGCATAAATTACATGCACGCACACCGACACACACACACGCACACACACACTGACAAAAGGACAATGCGCATGTACTCAACAAATACGAAAACGAATACAAATTCAATAACAAATACAAGTGCAGGGCATAAGACGCACACACACACACAGCGTGTAAGAAAGAGAGAGGAACAGTGATATGAGTCGAGGATATGGATATGGTTATGTGTAGCTCTGTCGCTGTGTGTGTGCTGCTTGGACTGCATACGCATGCCTAAAGTATGAACTATAAAAATTTACGAGGCAATAAAAGTGCGAGCTGCTATGCTACGCTGTGTTTTATGGCTAACAGCAAAAGGCAGACAGTAGGTAAATATGAGAGAGAGCCAAGCTGAGGGCTGAGGGCAGAGCGGCGGGAGCTTAAAGAGTTTCTGGCGCTCTACGATTTCCGCCAATTGCAGTTTCGATTTGGCCAAGGCCGAAAGAGTTCACGTGCGTGTGTGTGTGTGTGTGCTGGCTGCTTAAAAGTTTGTGCGCTTCGTTTTATTTTTTTCACATTTTGCATCGCTGATTGATTGATTGATTTAATACACTTTTCCTTTTACAACATTCCGCGCTCTTGAGTTTATATGTGCTCTTCCTTTACTCTACACTGCTCTGCTCTCCTCTCCAGTCCAGTCCGCTGGTCAGTCAGTCATATTCCAGCTGCTTGAGCACGCAATCCATTTTCAAGAAGACGACGATGAGCCAGAGCCAGGCAGCAGCAGTGGAAAAGCGAACAACTTAAGACTCAGCGTGGCGGAAATTTAATTTGGCTATGGGTCAGCCGCTCACAGCTGGGCTGCCCGGGCAATCAAAGTTTCCTAATTAAAGTAAACATCAAGTTGAGCATTATCGTAGTTAGTTCGTTAGTTAGTTAGTGAGCGTTGCACTCCGGCTCGATTCAAATTAGCACGAGGCGTATACTTMATAAATTGCTTACTAATAAGCCAGCGGGCAGCACTGAGTGCACTGAGAGCGATGGCTACGTTTATCCATGGGTCTCGGTCCAAACAGCTCTTCGGCTCGCTCCTCCAATCGCCATTAGCATTATCGATCTGTAATAACTCTTTCTGTATTGAAATTATATTCTTATTAGGGTCAAAGCAAGCTGCTTATGCTTATCTCCAAATCTAGCCAGAAAGCCACTTAGACCACATTCAAGTATATTTGCTTTGCCCAGGTAAATATTGGCGGTGTACTGACCCTATGGCATGGCTTTTGATGTAGTTTACGTATCAATATTAGCGCTTGTTCTATAAAAACAAAAGCAGAATAGAGAAAACCCAAAAAGAAAGGAACGTGTGACGCGTATTTTGACGTGGGTCAAGAGACCCTGGCCAGACTTTGTCCCGTTATTTAAAATGCATTCTGTTTGACCAGACTAATTGGATTAATCGGCGTTTTCCTTCATTTTAATCGATTTTGCTTTTGTTTCTATATCATAAATTGACCTGCTAAAATAAACATCACGGCGTCTGCCAAAGTTCATCAGCTACTTAAGAGCCCGAACATTCTGGCGGGTCACTGAATCATGATGTTTTTTATTATGAGTGACAGTTGAAATTAGCTCTAATTTTATAGAGTTTTGCAAGGCATGGAAATGTATTTGGGGCTGTTGAGACATATTTATAGGATATATAGGATTAGCGTATGTATTATTAGATTATTGAAAACAGATTATTTGTTGCCTCTCTCTGCGATTTTCATGAACTCAATTTGGCCGTAGAAAATCTCGTTTGAGTGAAATAATAAATATAATGTTGTATATAAAGATAATGCTGTATATTTTAATTAGCTCACACTATCTCTTTGCTAGATACGTTTTCTAAATCCTCTAAAAATATACTAGTATACTAATCAGTAAAATAAAGTATTTACCAAAATTATGTTAAATTTGAACATTTCTTATAACTAAAGGAAAGGAATGTGAACAGACTTTCTGTAATTGAAAAGCCTTTCTATGTGATTTTCATAAATTCACAAATGAAATAACCCGCAGCTCTTTCCATTCTCGTAGCTCATAGCAGAAATTATATAATTTTTCCCCACTTCCATGCAAAGAAAAGACTCAGAGATTATTGGAAAGCCTTTCTATCAGAAACACAACAAACTCAAATTTATATCGATCAACTCTTTTCTTTCGCTCCCATAATCTTTTATTAGCTTACAGTCATTGAATACGGCCTTAATATATTTTCTGTATTTTCTCGAAGAGCCTTCAATGAGCTCTAAAACTATATCAAAACTTATTGCCTTCTTTCTGCCACATAAATATAATTATGTTGCAATTGAATTAAAACTGGGGTTTAATTAGAAAAGAAATTGTTGTAGAAGTACGAGTGGACTTTGTGTTTGTTAACTCAATGAGATTCCAGCTAATAATCAATTTTTCAACATGGCTACAAAGTTGATGTAATTACATTACATATAAGGACGTTTGCGTGATCCAAAAATAAACACAAATTAGACAAGGACAATGGGGAAACAGTTTATATAACTGTGTGTGTGTGTGTGTATGTATGGGTGTTCCATCAACATGAACTGTGGCGCTGAGGGAGGGAGGCGGCAGGTAGGGTGGACGAATCAATAAATGTCATGTAGAGGCAATAATCGTAAATAACACGCTGAGTTTTCGTATGTCAATCAAAAGCTTTATTATTTCAACAGTTTGCAATGGATTTCGTTTCGGCAGGTAGAGCAAGGCTAAAGGATATCTTTTAACTAGCAATTGCAGTGAGCAAAGAAAAAACGAACGATGAAACTTTGGATTTATATATAGGTCGCATTTGCTGATTGCCAAAAAAGAAGTAAAAGAAGAAGAAGAAGCAAAAGTGTAGGCGACGAGTGTACAGTCCTTTAACGCAATTTGTGATTGCACTTTGGACTTGGCTTATTTGCCAGGCTCTTGTCTAACTTTCTCTCTCTCACTCTCCACTCTCTCACTCACCACTCTCTTCTCCTCTCACACTTTGATTGCAGACCAAAAGTCAATACTCACAGATAACGATTGGAAGAAGCTATGGACGCGCAACGGCATAAATGCCGATTCCAAATTGGATAATAATCTCGACTCCAGCGACAGTCCCATGTTCGAGGACAGCGAGGTAAGTAAGAATTGACAAACTGACTCAATACAGCACGAGGACAGGCACAGGATAGTCGATGAAGTGCACCCAAGTGTGTCTACGAAATTGAATTGAATGCAGAGCTAAAGGTGGAGTGTGCTCAACGTGCTCATAGCCCCAACAGCTAGCCACCGTTAGCCTGATCAATATGCTAATGTGCAATGTCCTGCGAAGGACATGCAAATCGAGTTGAAAAGCGCGGCTAATGCTAATTACTATACAACATGAAGACGCGCCGGCTTTAATTAATCTTTTAGTGCTTATTTATACAACACTCGCGCCCGACTTTAACTATCCAATCAGCCAAAGAGGCCAAGCCGTAAATTTGCTCAAACTACCACTACTAAGTACGTTTGAGTATATATATATCTATGTATGTATGTCCAGCTAGACATATGCATACAGGGTGAGGCAATTGAACTGTTTACAGCGCGTGACTTATGAGTGGGTCTCTAATCATTCACATAACTAATACAAGTCAACTGCAAATTTTACTCAATTTAAAGTTTTGCAGGCTTTATCAGGTATATTTTCAAGCAGTTACTTCTGGTCTGATATACGCACGGTATATAAGCTAGCACCTTAATGTGCCTGATTATTTCTTTAGTATATTCTTTACATGGATGACATATACAAGTATATTGATACAAGTTATGCAGTATATTGGAGACCAGAATATATCCTTTTCAAGTGTTCCCTATCAAAACATTTATACTTGCTGTTAACAAATTTCAAACTGTAGGGCTATCAAAATCTTTAGCTATCCAAGATCTCCAGTCTTGGCTATTAAAATTTTCCAGTGAAACTGTATACCAGTCTAAAATCTCCATTCGAGCTCTTTAGCTATCCAAGATCTCCAGTCAAAATCTATGGCTATTCAAGATCTCGAGTCAAACTGTAGAGCTACCAAAACTCCATTCAAGGTCTTTAGCTACACAAGATCTCCAATCCAATTCTTTGACTATTCAAATAAGGCAATCCCAGATTAAATTTGTTTAGGCTATTCAAATAACCTTGTAATAAATTCCCTTTCAATTTTACGCAAAAGCTCATCAAATCAATTTGAATTAGCCAATTAAAACAAGCCCCAATCATTAGCTGTCTGCTCGCCCGTCTAGCCAGTTTAAATGCTTCAATTTTTTTATTTTTTGGCTTAGATCTGCTGCAAGTAAATTACGTATTTTTCTTCTAGCCACAAAACGTGACAGTAATAAAAAAAAGAACGCGAATGCAGCTTCAAAATTTTATAGTCGTCTAATTTGGGCAACAGCTTCATCAGCCTCACCCTGTATGCGTCTAGCGTTTCAAATTCTGCTGACTAATTGTGCAGTCAGACAGCATTTGATGGTATTTTTAATACCCCAATGGCGATTGCGCAGCGGGTATGATGGGCTAGTGCAAAAGTATGTAACAGCCTGAAGTAGAAGATATTTATGCAACTTATAATTGAAGATGGCAAAATAAAAGTTCTGTCAACTTAACACAAGACATCCGGGCTAGCATTGAGTCGTGCATACCCGCCTAGAATACTCAAACTCTTTGGTATTTTATAGCATTCCTTGCTTGCCTTTTAGCTTTACTTTTACAGGTAACACATGAAAAATGAACTTTTAACTTTTTGTCTTGTACTTTTCTCCTTCACCCAACTCCCTTTCTTCCCTTCCCCTTTTCTCCTTTTCTTTGTTTCTCTTTTTCTTTCACCCACAGCTGATGGCGCACAATACAACCGTCCAACTGGGTGGCACCGCCTTTCTCGTCTGCAAAGTCACCGGCGTGGATCGTGTGGGTGTAAATTGGGTTTGTTTAGCTTTGTTCTTGTCTATCCTCTATCTAATTGCGTGGCGAAGGTGCCTCCTGCTTTAAGCTTCCACTTTAAGTTTCGCTTGCATTTTATTTGCTGCACATATTGCATATTTTCCGATTTTCAGTTTTTAATTATATGGCATTTAGCTCTGGCATTTTATTTGTTTGCATATATATGAGAATTTGGTCGGTTCTTCGTCGAATCGGGACACGCAATTGTCCAATTTGTTTTGGCAGCCGAGCACGAAACATACAAAATGCGAATGCTTAATTTGCAGCTGAAAGCTAGAAACCGTTTGCCATGACATTGTGTACACTTTGTTTGGCATTCAACGTTTGCTAACAAGCAATTAAATGCTACCCCGAAAAAAACAAAAAACAAAAATACCAAAACAACAACAGTCAAATACGACACGCAATGGAACCCAACAGGCATAGAGACATGGACACCGAGCCCATAATTGAGCCAAAGCATGTGACAAAATATCAATTAATCAGAGTCAGGCGAAATTCCATTCACAAGAGCTGTGGAGCATTTTTTATAAATTTCTCGCTAAATGCAACAATTATCAGAATATTTATTAGGATTTAGAGAGCTGTGCAAGGCAGCAAAAAGGCTCTGATATATTCAAATGGAGAGCAGTTAGGCAGCGAGTGAATCCATATTAAATTTTCAGCATTGTTGAAAAGTTGAAAACTTACCGTAACATTGAGAGTAATATATTATATATATACCTGTGAGTTTTATCCAGCAATGGCTAAAGCAAAGGGATGCTTCAACCCTTTTGAACCAGATTTCTTGCCTAAGCTATTCAGCTTTCTTTCTCTTATCATGCTTGTGCATGGTCAATCATCTAGCGGGCTCTTGCTGTCCAACTTCCTGCTAAAATCCATACAAAAATCTGAAAAAAAAAAAAATAAAA